TGTTGCATACAAAAGCAGGTCAGAGAAAGGTCGTTGCTTAGTAAGACTGGGACTGGGGCTGGGTTTTATCCAGTGTAACCCTGCCTGCTCTAGGTGAGAAAGTAGCTAATGCTTTGTAGTGCATCTTCTAAGTGTTGATTTTCTTAGCAGCTGTACAGGGAAGTTCAGGCCCTGAACTCTACTTCTTGATCTGCAAGAGCAACTGCTTTCTGCTCAGCTGGCATGCAGTGCTATGCCGTGTGCCCCTGTCTTTATATCCTGAAGGCAGCAATGTTAATGTAGTGGACAGAGCTTGTGGAGCATGGGCTCTCTGTCTACTCCTTGTGTAGGACATGCTACTGCATCTTCATTTCCTTCTGGGATATGCAGAGCCTCTGTGCCTCTCAGGAGTGAGACTCAATTTGCTGACCCAAATAGTCCAGGTCCACAGGTGGTAGAATGCTGGGTATGTTGGAGAGCTTACTGTGATCAGTTCTAGGCACAGGTTGCGGTTTTAGTTTGATGGGAATGATTAATCTGAGGTACTTCAGCGCCTTAGGACCCAATTTGAAGTGCTGTCCTTGAAAGCCTGTTCTAAACATCCTCTTAGTAGTGGGTACATCGTGGATTCCTTCAGTTAATTTTTTTTTTTTTTGAGAAAGCCACAGTCGTTCTGCATTTTACAGCTTTTTATTAATAAATTGCATTGGAAAGTATGTGCCATCTGCTTTCATACTCCATCACTTGTTTCTGTTAGGTAAGTGTTCTGCTGAGTTTCCTGTCAAGAGCACTTTTGGAGCAAAAATAAGAGGAGGTCCCCTCTTGTGCCTTTCTCCTCTTACCCAAGTGACTGCTCTTGCTGATTGCAGAGGGCTTAAAGCTTTCTGCAGGTATTTGCCAGAGCCAGGCCCTTGTAATGGGCGGCGAGGGGAGACGTCTCCAACTTGCTCAGATGCATTTGTAGTTCTCTGAATTAAAGTGGAGATTCTTATATGAATCTGGTAAATCTAATTCAGCAGGTGAGACTCGCACAGTGGTTTCCCACCTATTAAGCTTGCAGCCAAGAATTCGCCTCGCATCTGGAGCACGACAATGTGGCCTTGCCTGTTCTAAGCGTGTGTCACAGACGCTGGTGGCTGCGTATGTAGCATCAGGTTGCGGAGGTGGAAGGATGAGGATGTGTTTCTAGTTAGGACTCTGTACAAAGGGGAAGAGGAAACTCCCTGGCTACATCCACACCTCTCGGGTCTCTGCTGTCACGTGTCCTGCTGGGTGTATTCCAGTATGTTACAAGTTTTGTGACGTTCAGTCCCACGTGGTACGGTGACAGCAGTTGGCACGTGGATGTAGCTGGCATAACTCACTTCTTTTCCCCTCCTCTTTGAATGCTTGTTTAGGCTGTAGTTCAGTGGTACTTTAAAAAGGGCTTAAAAGGCCCTAGAGTTTATAACCTGACATCATGTTGTGCAGGTAGGAAAAGCATAGATGGGGCGGAGTTTAATCTGTGTAGAAGAGTTGTTTGGGGTAGAGCTTACACAAAGCAAACCTTTTGCACAATAAATAGAGATGAGATGACAGGACATTTTGCAAATTCTTACATACAGAATCTCCCCAAGACTGTTTCCAAGGGATCCTTGTTTAGCTGAGGCTTCAGATTTAGATTTTTGCAAAACCAAAATGTACTCCTTTTACTCAATCTAATGGCATAACTGTAATACTAGTAGGTAATTCCTCTTAAAGAAAATATTAGACATCAAGCGGCAGCACTGTAGAGCTAAAGCATCAGTCTTCTTTACTGTGTTGTATGTCCCTTCTCTGTTTGACAGGTATTCGATCGGTGAGCTTCTACGAGCACATCATCACAGTGGGAACGGGGCAAGGTTCCTTATTGTTTTACGATATCAGAGCCCAGAGGTTCCTGGATGAAAAGCCCCCACGTGCCTGCTATGGACAGAAGCAGAAATTAGGAGGAAGTGAAATTTTGAAGTTGACTACTGGGAAAGGCTGGCTGGTGAGTAGCTCGTAGCTGTAGGCGACCCTTTACGCAGGAGTGCCATAGGGCTCGAACCGGTTCTTTTTGTAGTAGTGGGAGCTGTTGTATGAAATGCGTCCCAGTAAAACAGTGATCATGTAACCGATAACTGTAATCATGAAAAGCAAGAAGTACTGCAGAATTGCTTTCTACAAAAGCTTTATGAAAGAGTATTGAATGGTTGGTTGCTTGAATGTAGGACATACTTTTATGCCTTTTTGGCTTAAAAGTAAGCCTATGCATATGGCTTTTATGCACTGATTCATAAAGCAACTAGATTTTATATCTTTATATTTTCGAATATAATCTAATTTCCAGTTTTCAGAACCTTGAACACAAAATGCATCGTCTTCCTTCAAAAACATGCTACTCTAACGTGGTACTCAAAGTAAGAGAGATTTAATTTAGTTGTGTGCAGTTTCAGAAAGTGTGGCTTCCTGAGGTAATGCCGTGGCAGGCACTTGAGTTCAATTTCCTGTATGTTGTTATAAAGCAGTTAATGGCTTTGTCTAACTTCTCTACATTATCTTTTGTATCATTGTGATGTAGCTTTAAAAACTAATGAAACTTGGTATCTTCCCTACCCTTCACCTTCCCCCCTCCAATGTTTGGCCCAAATGTCCTCAGAAAAAGCTTCAGGACAACTCTGGTATCTTAAAGTTCATCTGTCTGATGCCTCAGGGAGTATTAACAGAAAAGGTCCCTTTTTAGGCCCTGGAAGCTACCTTCTGCTTTTGTGCAACAAGGTTTTGGGTTTGTTTGGCAACAATAACAGTCTAAACTTTCCTTTAACAGAATCATGATGAAACGTGGAGGAATTATTTTTCTGACATAAATTTCTTCCCAAATGCTGTTTACACCCACTGCTACGACTCGTCTGGAACGAAACTCTTTGTGGCAGGAGGCCCCCTTCCATCAGGACTTCATGGGAATTACGCTGGTCTCTGGAGCTAATGATAACTCTTTATAAATGCTGATCTTTACACAGATTTCCACTTTTCTTTTTCTTTTTTTAACAACAGAATTGTGTGATGCCATTGATTTCTGATTTAAATGCAAGTTATTTTTTGGCAGAGTTTTCTGTTGGTCTCCAACAGTTTTGTACATCTTTTTGAACCAGTTTTTTGCTTTAACCTCCTTGATCCTTTATATGAAGGGTTTTTGAAATCCCTGTTTATTGTATTTACTCCAAATGACTCTTCCCCCACATTTAGGCTATCTTGGCCATTGTGCCCCCTCCCCTACTTTGCTGTGAGGTAGGATTCCTTTCTTATAGAGTGGTTGCTTCTGGGCTTTCTGTGAAAGTCTAGGGGCTGCGTGTGTGCAGGTACTTTGTGTCAGTTACATTACCTGGAGTGAGGACTACTTGTAATTAAAAAATATTAAAAATATTTATAAGAGATAAGCTACTACTTTATCTGCAGAGCCTGGTCCTGGCCTGGGTTGATCTTATTTTTTAAAAGTACAAGTCTAATGACACTGTTTATACGTAGAGGAATATGTTAATTTTAAGCTGTACTCATTGGAGCCCAGGGACGGATTTCCCAGGGTTGTTGCCCATCGAGCCCAAACTGCAGACATGCAGGAGTTCTCAAAAGTGCATTTGTATTTGAATTGTAGTTTTCAGCAGTGCCAGGAGCAAAAATTGATCTTCTGTTCCTTCTCTGCCTGTCCCAGGTGTCAGCTTCCACAACTGGAGTTTGCGTAGGCTGTTATTGCAAGGTGACATTACACTGAGGGCCTGCAGAGGTGCTGAGAGGAAATGGGGGCTAAGGACATGAGTGTTCTTGTCATTCAAAATGAACTAAATCTATCCATTTTCTAGATGAGCCAAGGTTCCTGAGTATGCCGCTGCGGCAGCTCATGGGCTCTTCATAAACTGCCTGAAACCCAGGACCTTTTTTGTCCCAGGTCGTGGAAACTTTTCTGTTTTAGCTGTTCTGGTTGGCCATCTCCTCTAATAAACCAATTGAATGAATAAACTCTGTTTTTTCCTCCAAGGTTAAAGAGCGCATCTCGGACTTAACTAATGCAAGCTAGAAACGTTCCACATAGCAAGATAACTTGCTGTTAGCTCACATTGCACTAGCATCTGCTGTCATCCTGCTTGCTATAGGAGAGGCTCAGTCTTTCCCCAAATCCCCTGCTGCCTTCTGCATTCAGACTCCCTCAAACTTCATGTGGGACTGGGTGGGGAGAATAGGTCCAATGCCCTTCAGGTCCAGTTGTGAAGCCTGTGCATTCCAGGGCGATGGTCTTGCCTAATACTCAGCTAAAACGGCAGTACTCTAGGATGCTCCTCCTCGCCTTTTGGCAGGCACCAAACTTGGCTTGTTACTGATGCCTCTGTCCTCAGCTGGGATGAATGCCTTGCCCCCTGCCCCTGTCACAGGTGGAGCAGAGTGTGCCTGTACCTCACTGCTCTGGTGCCAAATGGGCAGTTGGTTGAAGCCGAGAAGAAACACAATGCTGGGACATGCTCTGTTCTCCTGTCTCTGCTGGAGATCACAGCCACCACTGCAAAGTAGCTCTAGTCCCTTACGCAGTTCCTGCCAGGCTGCCTAAAGCTAGTCTGCATGTGTCCTTGAGGTCCCTCTTGTCTTTGTATTCAGTATCCTCAGCGGTGATGCCAAGCAGTGAGCCTTAGGCTTAATTTCCATTAGGTGGTGGAGACTTGGATGGAAATCTCGCAAGGAATGCAGTTCCCTCCCATCCGGGTGGAAATCCTGGGAAGAGAAGAGCTCTCCCAGATGTGCACCTGTCCCGGAAGTATAATCTACTCGCACTGAGCACTGACATGGGTGCTTCACGAACAGATCTTCTTGCAGCGTTTCATAATTCTACTTTCCTTCTGGGTTGGTTGCTTAAACGGAATCAGTTCATAGCGCTGCGTGTGTGGCTATTCAGGCTTTTCTCTGAAAAGGGGCAAATTATATACCATGAGGTAGCGAAGGAGCTCTCAAATTTTATTTAGAGTTATTCATTGTTTTTTAAAGATGTTGTAATGGTGCCTGTGTTGTATGTTGCCATCACAGAACTGCTTTGGTTATTTTAGGGGTTTTGAAAAGTGGAAGTATACAGAGGAAGACAAGCCTTGGTGAAGTATGGCAGGATGTGTATTTCTAGGATTACTCCTCCAGCTACTGTGTAAGATCACTCTGTCACAGGGAACACGTTCTGCTTAGGTTTTTTTATTTGGGCTTGATTTGAGGTGCTGCTTTTTTTTTTTAAAGAAACTGGACACTTGAGTCTACTTGAGTGTCCCTCAGTTCTCAAACAACAGTTACTAGTTAGGCACTTAGTGTCACCGGTGCTAAAGAAAAACTCCTGGTCTGGAAATCCTAGCCCTCATGTTGATCTATTAATTGAAGCATATTCCAGGTCTGGGTGAGGGGGCAAAAAGGGTATTTGTATGGACTGAGCTTCAGCCTCCAAACAGAGGCTGATCTTTCTGCAGGCTCAGCAGAGTCTCTAGGTTACTGAAGAGGCACCCCTGGAAAGTGTCCCTCTCTGCTGATTCTGATCTCCCTGAGTAGTACCTCAATGTGTGGTCCTAAAGCCGGGTAGTGTGAGTGCCCTTTTCCTCCTTTTGTTTTTGCATAGGAAGCTTTGGACAATTCTCAGAAGAATCTGGACAATGATGTAAAATTCCTCAAGTCTCACATGCTTCTGTGTATTCTGCTTTCAGGGTGCTTTCTTGCAAAGATAACTTCTCATGAGGAGGGAGCCATCCTTGTTGCTGTATGAAAATTGCCCCAAAAAACTGGAAACAAACTGGATAGTGCTGCAAGCGTGCAAACAAATTGGGCCAGAGAATTTAATTTCTAGCCTGTTTCAGTGGTTTTAAATGCTTGTAGTGATACAGATGTTAAGTTTCAGAATATTTTGTAGTTGGTCATACGTCCCATTTGGTCCAGTTAGTGTTAGAAATTGAGGCAGAGAGAGGTGATGATATGCCAACTGTCCAAAGATGAGAAGTAGGAGAAAAAGCCAGGTTTTCTTACTTGATTTGATTTTGTTGCCCTGTTGGGTTAGATATCAGAATAGAAATCCAGGATCACGGGGAGAAAAGCAGGGGCTTCCCATTGAAGTGCAGGAGTGTCTGTACAGCAGGGAATCTCCGGGCTCTGCGTGGAGGTGAGTTGGGTGCACCCTGTTGTCCAAATGGCAGATACACCCCTGGTGTATTCCATCCATTCAGATACACTGAATGGATGGAATTCAGTCTGGTGACTGTGCTTCAGTAGCTTCTTGAACGGCTCACTGTGCTCTGCTGAGACCCAGTGGCATTCGCATTTTCAGCCGTCTTCTCTTTTCCAGTGTTTCTTAATGATTTCCCTCCCTTGCTCTTTCCTGCCCTCCTGAATGGTCTGTTTGGGGTTGCTGCCTCCACCCCAAATCATCCCAGTCTTTACTGTAGCAATACTGTACTTGCAGGGGTGACCTCTGTCGAGCAGAAATGGGCTTGCTGGCATTTTGTCAAGCCATGCTTGAGATCTTCAATTTGCTTTATTTTAAACTGGGTAGACCTTTGAGGCTGGCTCAGACCATAGAACTGGGCAGTTGTCCTTGTACATGTTTGACTCATGGGATTACACAGTAATGGTCTGTTCCTGGCGGGGGACAGACTCTGGTTTATCTCACATTAGGCACTTGGAGGAGAGAAAAGAACTTTAGTCATAACAGACCTTCAGACTTTTCTTCCTGCTACTGACTTTTCAGTTGTGTGGGATCGTTTGTGCTGCTGGTGAGTATAGGAAGCAGTTAATTTTACCACTCAGCTCTTTTCAGTAGACTACCGTGTTAATTTGGGTATGTTTGGGTGTTACATTTTCAGTATTCATAATCACAGGTAATCAAACTAGTGACTTACAAGCTGGGTATTACCAAACCCATAATTAAGTACTGGATAACAACCCCTTGGTAACGATTGGGTGTTATGTGATGGACACTCCTAAGGAAGCAGAAGCTACTTTGCAGTGTTGGCTTGAGCATAGCAATGAGGATGGTGCTCACCCTCTTCACCAAACACCATATTCCTGGTAATTCCTCCAGCTTTCTCCCTTGTACAGTCAAGTCAGCCAGGGAGAATTGCTAGTGCTCTCCTCGGGTGCTTTCTGGGATTGCTGTAAAGAAGTGAGTCCACTTGTTTGGTTCCCTCATCAGTGCTGCTGGTGTTAGTCCAAGATGAGTACATTACCAAAGAATAGTTAATAGGTGTTTGTTCCTAGTCTCAGTTCTTCATTTTCCACATAGATCCATTTTTAAGGTTCATTGTAAGAGTGCCCTGTGATCTTGCTGGACTTAGTCTGCCCACAAAGATTACATTCACATTGTGGGTGACTCTTGTGACTCCCTTAATGAGGGGGACTCCTGAACTTCATTATGGGGATATATTTGCTGCCTCCATTTCAAGTCTTTGGCAGCTTTTTGTATCTTAAGGATTAAGGTACTTATGTATCAGTTATTCTTCTTCAGAATTCCATCCTCTTCCTTTGCCTGAGCACTTGCTTTGTATATAGCTTGCAGCTGCAGAGTTAACAGATTAAAGTTACGATCCAGCTATGTGGAGTGGTGGTTTGGTGTCTTAATTTCTGCCCCTCAGCTGAGAGGCACTTACTGACCTTGTGAACTAATGTCCCTCACCCGGTGCAGATGTGAAATAAAGGAGGCTTGCTTAGACCCTTCATGGAGGTCACCTGTTTTGTTTGTTTGCAAGAAACCAAGAACAGATGGGCTGTCAGTTGCTGCATCTCAACAAAGCAGCAGCATCTTTCCGCAGCCAGCTGGGAGCTCCGAGATCTGTTTGCGGTGGTCTGATACCCTTATTTTCTATAAACCCACTTTTCCAAGGTGTCTGAGAGGGTCTTAATTAGCTTGTCGCAACTGCTGCTATGACTAAATCACTGAACTGGGGTACAGCTCCTTCCTAGGAACACTGTTGCAGGGCTGTGGGTGACACGGGGGGAGCTGATCCTCTGGCCAGCCCATGCTGAGCCCTGGACTCCTATGCCAGCCTGGCACACGCTCTCTAGCTTAAAGCCAAGTGAAAATCCCCGTGTGCACCGCTGACCACCCCACAGCCAGAGCCCATGGTGTGACCTCAACTTAAAATGCATTTCTGAGTGTTGCAGTGCCTTCAGTAACTTACTTGAAAGTCTCTGAAGCACAGACATCAGGAATTTGCCCATGTTGCAGACAAGGGAGTGTGGAAAGGAGAACACAGCCACATCTTGTGTGATGGGATCTCCTGCGTATGCTCTCCCTTGCCTCTGCGAGCAGGCACTTCGGTGTGTCGTGACGATGGGCAAGGGGGCACAAGAGAAAAGGTGAAAGCACAACAGTGTTTGGTATTGATCTCAGGACTCCTGAGGAATTTAAAAATATAGAGGGGATCCTTATTCATTGCTCAGGAGGTACTTGTGAAAGGGCTTAATCAGAAACATTTTCAGAGGGATCAAGTAGATATCCCTGTCATTCTTGTTTCTCCATGTTAATTTTCAAGGATTTAAATTAGGAAGTATATTTTTGCTTGTGATGCTGGGTTTCTTTATCAAAACCATGTGGTACTTGTCTAATTAGAAGAATGCTCTTGACAGAAATGAATCTTCCCAATTAAAAATTGAGTGCCATTTTCTAACAGCCTTTCCCTCTAGTACCCTGCTGGGAGCAGTATGGTCTAAGAAAGTGCACACAGATCTAAAACAGGGTGCCAGGGTTGGCAGAGTTGAGAGGACGTGGTCTGCCTGACCATTTCTGTACCCAAAAAACCACCAAGTAAAACACCTGATTGTATCCAAATTCTGGTCATTAAACTGAACGGAGAGGGTGTATAAAAACCATTGCAACACAGTGTGATGTTTCTATAGCCCTATCAACTAGATGTTGCTTCTTTGACCTCAGAACAAAAGTCTAGGAGTCAATACGTTGTTTTCTTAGGAACTGCTCTTCTAGATTCCCTTATTAAAAGGGAAAATCCAGGTGCTGAATCTTAAAATCTCATTAAACTTGTACTTTTTACTTGCCCTTCACCTGGTCCCCTGTCCTTTTCAAGGCCTCCCACAGTCTCAGGGTATATAAATCACTATCACTCATCCAAATAATACTGAAAACGGACCAACCAGAGGTTAATGTGCCTTCCTCTTCCGGTACCTTGATCTTTGTAAAGTTCTCTCACAAACTCGTCACTGTCGTAGGGCTGGGTACGTGCATTGTCTTTTTCTAAGATGTACGTGTTGAAGTTGCAACAGGTTTGTACTGTTACTTGTGACTTCTTCCATTTGTTTTAGGGTGTGGTGTAGACACAAATCAATGCACTGGTTTGTCTTGGGATCAGTCTTACCTGTGACATCTATCAGTGCTTGCTTGTATGTTAAAGTGTACACAAATGCTGGATCTTCCCCATTGCCTATGATGTACTTGTATATGATGCACAAACTACACAAGGTGTTTTAAAATGTGCGGTGATCACAACTTGTTGCCTGAGGGCAGGATGTCCTACAGTGAACTGTTTTTAATGTTTTTTTCCAAATATATTTAATAAGATCCAAAGCCTTGGGTGGGGTGGGGTGGGGGAATCGGACTTGCTGATACCTGCTGGCTTTTATTCTGAATCCAGGGTCTGTGTTTGTTAACAACTGTTGCAATTCCACCCATTTAACAGAGCCTTTCTCAGCTTGCTGTTTCTGTCGTGAGCCGTGTCAGAAACAGCACTGGATCCTGAAGTACCATAGAAGCTGTCAAGTGAAGTAGTAACAGCTCCCGTCAAATGTTACAGGGCACATTTTTATCTGTAAGGTAAAACTGTTCAAAATTACGGATGCAGCTTGCGAATGGAACAGTGGAAAAGCGCAGATAGTATATGAAACCAGCCTGTCTGCACATGCAGCTCAGTGTTCAGCGTCACCTTGTAAATTGTTTCTCCTCTCTAAAAAAGAGATTTTTATTCCCCCACCCCACCCCCCCAATACAAAGACATTACACGTTTGGCTTTGTTTTCTGAATTGGCTAAAAGATATCTTTGTTCTTAAACTCAAACTGACATCTGGAATTTGGGCTGAGTTTCTGTCTCTTATGCAGATAG